TAGGTACACGTTTGCCAGTGGGTGCTCAGCCGTTCAAGTTCACGGTTTCGCAGCTGCATCCAGCCAAGCTTACGGATGTTGCATTTACATTCGAGCAATCGAAAACGGACAGGCTCATTGTCGATTGCTAGCAGCGAAATCGAGAGTGGCTTGAATTATGCGCCGCCACACTTTTGGCACAATTTTGGTCCTACGTCAAACAAGTTCTTGACAAATGTGAAATCGAGAGTGTTTATTTCTGGACAGACTCAGAAATAACATTACATTGGATAAAGTATCAACCTTCGTCACTTGCAGTTTTTGTCTCAAACAGGGTAGCCACAATTCAAAAGCTTTTAGAAAATATATCCTGGCGACATGTCCCTTCGCAGTTGTAAGTGAATTGACTGAATCCACCTGGTTCGAAGGTCCGTAATTTCTGTATGAAAATGAGTCATCATGGCCAGAAAACTCTCATTTTTTTATACCTTCCGAATTAAAAAACTCAGAGTTAAAAAGAGCTGCCCAAGTGTGTATAGCCGTCGAGCTATCAACTCCGTTTGAATTTATTACTCGTATCTCATCGTTTCCCAAACTCATTAGAATTCTTGGACACGTTTACAGATTTATAAACCTAGCTAAATCACGAGAAAGATCAGTAAGTCTGACTGCTAGAGAGTTACAACTATCATTTTTTAAACTGATGGAAATCATCCAAAAAATGTCTTTGTAGAAGGGTACAAGAAAATTAAAAAACGACATGTTTTACAACCAAGTTTGCAGATGATGACGCCCTTTATACAAAAGTTTTCTGAAGCTACTAGAAGATTTTCGCTAATTCGGGTGGGAGGTAGACTCTTGCATGCACCTATTTCAGAAAATGCTAAATTTCCGATATTACTCCCTTGTAAAAACCAAATTGTCAAATTTGCATTTGAGAAATTTTCACGCAAATGCAAAAACGATGATCGGTCTTCTTCGGCAAGAAATCTGTTTAATAAATGCTCGCAGAGAATGCACTCGGGTGGTTCAAAAATGCACCCATTGTTTTAGAAATAAGCCTATTCGAAACCGTAAGGCCATTTCATATTTGTGGCGAAGATTTGTTTTGTCCTATCAATGTCTCGTGGCGTATTCGATGACGGCCCCCATTAAGATGTATATTGATGTATTTGTCTGATTTGCTTCCAAGGCTGTTCACCTGGAACTCGTTACAAATTTGTCGACTGACTCTTTTATTTTGGCCTTTAAAAGCTTCATCGCAAGACGTGGCGTACCGCATCGAGTACATTCCGACAACTCGACGAAATTCGTGGGAGCCAGGAACGAGCTGAGAAGTCTTTAGAGCGCCTTCGAGGATCAGCAGTCGCAGTTTCAACTGTTGGTCGTGGAGAAGGGCATCGAGTGGAGGTTCATCCCACCACTAGTACCGCCCTTCGGCGGCTTGTGGAAGACGGCCGTGAAGTCTGCGAAGGAAATTCTCGTGCGTCAAGTCGCAGACGCGTCCCTAACCGAAGCCGAGGTCAGGGCTTATCTGGCGGACACCAAGGCCGTGCTCAATTCTCGGCCTCTAACTCCAAGCAGCACCGATCCCAACGAGGGGGATGCGCTCACTCCAGGGCACCTGCTAATCGGGCAGGCCCTTCGTTCGCTGCCGCAAGGATTAGAGCCAGACGCACCGACCAGAGGTTTGAGATACTCAAAGAGGTGGCAACAGCTATCCACGCTCAGACAGCGGTTCTGGCAGGCGTGGTAAAAGGAATACGTACACAGCCTTCAGCGCAAAACCAAGTGGCAAACTATATCCCCCAATCTGGAGGTCGGAGCCTTGGTAATCATCCACGAGGGCAACACTCCACCCCAGCGTTGGATTACCGGCAGGGTCATCAGCGTGGTGGCAGGGGCCGATGGCAAAATTCGAGTGGCCGAAATCAAGAACGCAACAGGCGTACTTAAGCGTCCTATTCAGAAGCAGGCTGTACTCCCAATATATTGAAGGCAGGTCCTTCAAGGTGGCCGGAATGTTGAAGCGCAGAACGCTAATCATGAAGTTTAAATTATGTGAAGATACAAATAAGTAACAGCTTAAGAGAGCCCAACAGCGTTATGTTCACCGCTTACAGGCCCAGAACTATTATGTTAGCAAAGGGCCTGCAAAGGCTCTCACAAAACTGCGCTGCTGGGCACAATAAACTAGTTGAATTTTGAATATCGAATCGGCCAGTTTTGTGTTCTCTCTCCCCCCAAATTTTGCAGCAGCCAAGAAAGTCTTTTTACTTTTCGGCGTTCTCAATTATTAATAATTTAATTTTCGTTTCGATTTTCTACATGGCGCCCGAGCAGGGACTTCGAAAAGTTTTGTTCGGATTTAAAATCATTTCAAGCCGCTTAGCTGCTTGCGAATTTCGGGGCCAAGACTTGGCATTTATTTTGGGCTCGCAAATTTCGGCGCCAACAATTGGCATTTTTCGGACATTGCAAATTTCGCATTGGAATTTTTTGGACTTTCTTTCGGAAGTTCTTTAACAGGAGCTAACATCTATGGACCGGAACGCCAACTTGAGGGAAGTGGATTCATTTGGTTGGTGAAGATATTACAAGAATGAGGAAAGCTTTCGAGGAGAATACAATTTTGTTTAATCCGCTTCAAATTCAATGTCGACTGGAAATTTTAAATTCATATATTGCAAAAGCCATGGCATTGTAGTCGGAATTTGATATAAAAGATCCAGTGTGACGGTTTGTCGTTGTCGGGTGGCTCAGGGATGGCCAGGGTTCGTCACAACAAATTCGTTTGTGTCAGGATTGGTTGCTGAAAGAGAGTTCCGACCCAGGCCAGAGTAGAAGTCGTGGGGAATTACTTAGTAATTGATTATAACTAGGTTTATTTCAGTAAGATTCTTGACATTTGATTAATTCTGACTAACGGATTCTCCTGACTGGCGGTGTGCCGCCCTTGCTGCTTTTGCTTCCTTCGTCCGATCCGACTGCCGGGTGATGGGAGTCGTCCCGCAGCTCGAAATGCACCGCACGGGATTACGGCTGCTCGTAGAGTAGACCCCGGAACTGGTTGCCACGTAGAGAGCCTTAAATATTAGTATGTCGCTTGGGGACCCTGAAGTCAGCCACAAGAGAGAGAGAGTATATCGCTTGGGGACCCTGAAGTCAGCCACAAGAGAGAAAATGTTGCTTGGGGACCCTGAAGTCAGCCACAAGATAGAGAGAGAATGTTGTTTGGGGACCCTGAAGTCAGCCACAAGAGGGAGAGAGAGTTGCTTGGGGACCCTGAAGTCAGCCACAAGAGAGAGAGAAAGTTGCTTGGGGACCCTGAAGTCAGCCACAAGAGAGAGAGAGTCGCTTGGGGACCCTGAAGTCAGCCACAAGAGAGAAAGAGAGCCATAAAGAGGTGTGATCCTGAAATCAGACGTCTCCTAGTGAAACCTTCGGATCGGCAAGCCGATCCTGGCTTAAGAAGGGTAGTGGGAGGAGGAAGTATTACGGGAACTAACTACAATGTATAAGCGGACTTGGATCGAATGATCTAGTCCACCAAAAAGTGACTTTGCTGCTCACCACCACTGGGGAGTTGCCTCTTTACCCGAAGACGGTCTGCTGCTAAGTGACGTTCTATGTGCCCGCCGCCTGTGTGGGATTTGCCGGTATAAGTGTGGCCACCTCTCTTGGTCTATTGTGGCGCGTTCTTAGATTGAATTTGAATTAAACGCTCCTTTCGTTTAACTTTTTTAGTCTTTTTTATTTATATCTTGTTTTTGTGCGAGCAGCGTCACACCAGATAACCGGAATAGGTCGGAATTAGAAGAAAATTGCGTAATTACCAAGGCATTATATATGTCAGCTGCTGGTACAGGTGAAAACCTAATCAGCAGGCTTAAGTCACGGGCAGTTCACATTCAAATCTGCCAAAAATTAAGTTACCAAAATTTAGCGGCAAACATTCAGAGTATAAACAATTTATTGGAATGTTTGAGCAACTGGTTGACTCTGATAATTCGTTATCTAACATCGAAAAATTTAACTATTTGTTAGCCTGCCTTCCTGACGAGGCATTGGGAACAATAAAAGCTCTTCAAGTCTCAGATGCAAATTATAAAAAGGCATTAGCGAGTTTAAAGAGAGTCTATGACAAGTGTTAAATTTTCTTTGAAACTCTAACGCAGCTGTTTGAAATCCCTTCAATAACAAAACCTTCTGCGTCTGCCTTGAGGTTAATAATTGATACAGTAAGTGCAATTTTCGATTCGCTTATGTCCCTAAGGGACGAAAAAGATATTGTCAATGCGGTGATTATACATATAGTTCTTTCAAAGGTAGATCCTTACACCAAATCCAAGTATGAGGAACAGGTTAATTATGATGAACTGCCTAAATGGTCTGATTGCGTAAAGGTTTTAGATCGACGATATCAACATGTGTCAGCTGAGGAATCGTCGAGGGTAAAATGAAAAAGTTTTTCGGAAATGCCCTCTGGAAGCAAGAAAAATACTAGAAATTCATATACTTGCTCCAGGGTCAATAACACAAGTGATCTGTTTATATTGCAGTTTTAATCATTTAATAGGTAATTGCCAGGGATTTAGCGGAATACCAGTTTTAGATCGTTTTAACTTTGCCAAAATGAGGGACATAGGGTATTTAAATGCACAGCATCCAAATGTCGGGTATGCTCTAGGGTTGTCGAAAATTTTAAAAATATCGTATCGATGATATTTTTTTTTATAAAAAAAAAATGATAATATTTAAAATATCACAAAAAAATGTCGATATATTTGATATATTTGATATTTTTTTTGTTAAATGAAAAAATTGCCCGCCCACAATAAAAAGGCAATAAGTTTCTTTGTAACAATAATAGTATTTATACCCGTTACTCGTAGAGTAAAAGGGTATATTGTATTTGTGCAAAAGTATGTAACAGCTAGAAGGAAGCGTTTCCGACCCTATAAAGTATATATATTCTTGATCACCCGACTATAGCGTTCTCTCTTGTTTTATTATATATTTTATGTCCAATATGCACTGTTTAGAGATTTTAAAAACACCCTTTGTGTTATGTGGTCGTCTGTCATTCTACTCCTGGAGTCGCACACCACACATTTGATGGCGGACGCCAGCCGCTCTGAAGGCACCGAACTACCTGGGGTAACTAAATACTTCATGGCCACCTTGTAGAGGCCCGGCATAGTCGCTTTATGGGATTTCCACACTTCAACAGGATTGCTTTCCCATGCAGCTTTGGGCAAGCTAAAATACAGTTTTAACTCCTTGTTTTCCGATTCTTTATGCAAGTCTTTTGCGATGGAGTTGTTATGAGAGCTCATAAAGTCGTCGCAATCCTCTGTTCTTTCGTAATCAGATCTCTGTAAAAATTTAAGTAATTAGCAAGTGTTTTTCTTGTTTTTAGCAAAATTTTAAATGTTATAATATTAATATTTGTAGTTTTACGAGTTAATGAGTTATTAGATTATAAAAATTTGTAACTTTATGACCTACCCGTCTAAAATGGCATCCTCTACCGAAAGCGGTGACAAATACATCTTCTTAAACATAGGGTCTAAGAAGGACGATTTTACTAAAATTTTGTTTTGCTGGAACGACTGGAACCTTTTCTCAGAATTCCTTACAAGAGCCTCCTTGGCTTGTTTTCCTTCGTTTGTCTCCATATTCAATTTTTTTATATTGTTTTCTAACAGCGAAATGAGTGGAATCACCATGCTAACGGTGACGTATTGTTCACCGCTTATCTGCTCCGTGGCTTTTTTAAACGGCTGCAGGAGACTAAATAAGTCACGGCAGACGCTAAGCTCTGAGGCACTGAGCATTTGTGGTAGTCCCTTAATGCGTTCGGATCTTTGAATCAACAACACTGCAACTTTGTTGGCTAAACCTAAAAAGGACTCCATCATATCTACACAAGAATTCCAGCACGTGTCTACATTTTGAATTAATGTTCTTATTTTGCCTTCAGGAGTACCCTCATCGATTTGAGCCTTCCGCAATTGGTCCATCATAGCCGTACTGTGCTTAAAATGCATTACAATCCTCTTAATTTTATCCAAAATTCTGGTAAATAAATTAATCTCCTTAATCGTATAATTTACTACCAAGTTGATAGAGTGTGCGAAGCACGGCACATGTTTGCCAAGCCCCAGAAAAAGTTTGGCAGCGCACTTCATGTTGCTGGCGCTGTCCGTAGTGAGAGTGGTCCACTTGACACGGTCTATTTGAAACTCTGCGCAAGCCTCTTCCAACAAAGAGACTATATACTCACTGGTATGCGACTAAATTGAACGTGGAAAATATGTTTTACTTAAATCTTGCTTAATAAATAAGAAACAAAACATGTATCAACAGAGCACAAGACAAACACGATAAACAATGGACGACAAAACACATAAAATACAAATATTTATTTTCAAACTAACCTTATCCATTCTTGTAGATTTAAGGCATATAGAGTTCAGTGACTTTTGATACATAAAATGAGCTGTGATTGTTAGAAAGGAGCGACTCGAGTTAGGTATGGTAACAGCGTCGCAGGTGAACGCCACGTTCTCCACTTTACTCAACATCTTATTAATTGTTCCCACGCAGAGTCTGTATTTCTCCTCAATCATTGTTGTTGTCTGGAAAAAGTAAATATGTTTATGAAAGTCTATCTTAATACATTAAACGTCTTTAATACTTGCCTTGGATCTGCAAGGCATTTTATAATGCGGAACACATTTCTTAAGAAGTCCTCTGAGGCCTTCTTTTTCAACGCAGCGCACTGGCATGTTGTCTTTGCAAATCATAAAGACAATTGCCTCATTAATTTCTCTTGCCTTAAATCACTCTTCTAAAATGAAAATAAAAGTAAGTTAAGGTAACAAACGCCACCGGCTATTTCCTTCGATTTTATTGGTTTAACTTTAAAAGCCTCAGCATTCTTAAAGGACTCTGTTATTGTTAAAATGTTGTCAAAGTTCGTTGACAGCTAAGAATTAAAACTAATTAATATATGTTGTGAACAACGTGTGTGTGTGCGTTTTGCGCCAATTTTCAGTGGTATGTGCGTAAGTTACATATGCACACATAGACACTACGAAATCTGGCCATCGCACAAATGCATACATATAACATACAATCCTTCTTTTGCGCGCATTTTGCGAAAATTTCACCATGTTTGTTTTTTAAGTGCGAAGACAGGTTGCTGGTATTCCCGCTTGTTTTGATCACTTTTTCGCAAAGTTTGCACTTTGCTGTGCCGTTTTTTATATAATCGTATAATTAGATTTTACACTCATTTTTTCGCTCATCTTGACGCTCATTTTGACGCTTTAGAATTCAGTGTGACCAAAAACTAAATTATCAAAAAATATCAAAACAATATATCGGAAATCCGATATTTGGGCAAACAAAAAATCACGATATAAATATATCATTTTTAGAAAAAATATCGATATATTGATATTTTGATATATTATTCAGTGTGACCAAAAACTAAATTATCAAAAAATATCAAAACAATATATCGGAAATCCGATATTTGGGCAAACAAAAAATCACGATATAAATATATCATTTTTAGAAAAAAATATCGATATATTGATATTTTGATCGTAACTATCAACGGATATTATGGCGCGAGAATCCATCTGATGAGCTTCAAATATTTCGTCTCAATACAGTCACCTACGGAACGTCTTCAGCTCCATTTTTAGCCATCCGTAGCTTACAAGAACTTGGAGTTCGTAGCAGGGATAAGCATGAAATTGGTTCATACATAATTTGCAATGACTTTTATGTGGATGACATGCTTTCTGGAGCCGATGATATTGACACCTTGAACGTGATGTGTAATCAAGTGGATGCCACACACAGACACATTTCGATTTCATTTAGATGAGAGCTTTACAAAATTGACTCCCTCAAAATGCACAATTCTTTCAGTAAGCGCGCGGCGTTTTACTCCACTGGGATTGCCTTATTGGCCTTACATCTAAAATTCTTCTTCAAAGCCTTTGGCAACTTCAACTGGAATGGGATGAATCCATTCCGATGTCGTTACATCTACTTAATCTTCACGCAGTCACCATTCCTAGGTACACGTTGGCCATGGCTGTGATGTAAATGAATTGACTGAATCCACCTGGTTCGAAGGTCCGCAATTTCTGTATGAAAATGAGTCATCATGGCCAGAAAACTCGCATTTTTTGCCGTATTAAAAAACTCAGAGTTAAAAAGAGCTACCCAAGTGTCTAGCCGTCGAGCTATCAACTCCGTTTGAATTTATTACTCGTATCTCATCGTTTCCCAAACTCATTAGAATTCTTGGATACGTTTACAGATTTCTAAACCTAGCTAAATCACGAGAAAGATCAGTAAGTCTGACTGCTAGAGAGTTACAAATATCATTTTTTAAACTAATGGAAATCATCCAAAAAATGTCTTTGTAGAAGGGTACAAGAAAATTAAAAAAGGACATGTTTAACAACCAAGTTTGCAGATGATGACGCCCTTTATACAAAAGTTTTCTGAAGCTGGTAGAAGATTTTCGCTAATTCGGGCGCGAGGTAGACTCTTGCATGCACCTATTTCAGAAAATGCTAAATTTCCGATATTACTCCCTTGTAAAAACCAAATTGTCAAATTTGCATTTGAGAAATTTTCACGCAAATGCAAAAACGATGATCGGTCTTCTTCGGCAAGAAATCTGTTTAATAAATGCTCGCAGAGAATGCACTCGGGTGGTTCAAAAATGCACCCATTGTTTTAGATATAAGCCTATTCGAAACCGTAAGGCCATTTCATATTTGTGGCGAAGATTTGTTTTGTCCTATCAATGTCTCGTTGCGTATTCGAGAACGGCCCCCATTAAGATGTATATTGCTGTATTTGTCTGTTTTGCTTTCAAGGCTGTTCATCTGGAACTCGTTACAAATTTGTCGACATCGAGTACATTTCGACAACGCGACGAAATTCGTGGGAGCCAGGAACGAGCTGAGAAGTCTTTAGAGCGCCTTCGAGGATCAGCAGTCGCAGTTTCAACTGTTGGTCGTGGAGAAGGGCATCGAGTGGAGGTTTAACCCACCACGAGCACCGCCCTTCGGCGACTTGTGGAAGGCGGCCGTGAAGTCTGCGAAGGAAATTCTCGTGCGTCAAGTCGCAGACGCGTCCCTAACCGAAGCCGAGGTCAGGGCTTATCTGGCGGAAACCAAGGCCGTGCTCAATTCTCGTCCTCTAACTCCAAGCAGCACCGATCCCAACGAGGGGGAGGCGCTCACTCCAGGGCACCTGCTAATCGGGCTGGCCCTTCGTTCGCTCCCGCAAGGATTAGAGCCAGACGCACCGACCAGAGGTTTGAGATACTCAAAGAGGTGGCAACTGCTATCCCCGCTCAGACAGCGGTTCTGGCAGGCGTGGTCCAGGGAATACGTCCACAGCCTTCAGCGCAAAACCAAGAGGCAAACTACATCCCCCAATCTGGAGGTCGGAGCCTTGGTAATCATCCACGAGGACAACACTCCACCCCAGCGTTGGATTACCGGCAGGGTCATCAGTGTGGTGGCAGGAGCCGATGGCAAAATTCGAGTGGCCGAAATCAAGACCGCAACAGGCGTATTTAAGCGTCCTATTCAGAAGCAGGCTGTACTCCCAATATATTGAAGGCAGGTCCTTCAAGGTGGCCGGAATGTTGAAGCGCAGTACGCTAATCATGAAGTTTAAATTTTGTGAAGATACAAATAAGTAACAGCTTAAGAGAGCCCAACAGCATTATGTTCACCGCTTACAGGCCCAGAACTATTATGTTAGCAAAGGGCCTGCAAAGGCTCTCACAAAACTGCGCTGCTGGGCACAATAAACTAGTTGAATTTTGAATATCGAATCGGCCAGTTTTGTGTTCTCTCTTCCCCCAAATTTTGCAGCAGCCAAGAAAGTCTTTTTACTTTTCGGCGTTCTCAAATATTAATAATTTAATTTTCGTTTCGATTTTCTACATGGCTTCCGAGCCAAGACTTGGCATTTATTTTGGGCTCGCAAATTTCGGCGCCAACAATTGGCATTTTTCGGACATTGCAAATTTCGCATTGGAATTTTTTGGACTTTCTTTCGGAAGTTCTTTAACAGGAGCTAACATCTATGGACCGGAACGCCAACTTGAGGGAAGTGGATTCATTTGGTTGGTGAAGATATTACAAGAATGAGGAAAGCTTTCGAGGAGAATACAATTTTGTTTAATCCGCTTCAAATTCAATGTCGACTGGAAATTTTAAATTCATATATTGCAAAAGCCATGGCATTGTAGTCGGAATTTGATATAAAAGATCCAGTGTGACGGTTTGTCGTTGTCGGGTGGCTCAGGGATGGCCAGGGTTCGTCACAACAAATTCGTTTGTGTCAGGATTGGTTGCTGAAAGAGAGTTCCGACCCAGGCCAGAGTAGAAGTCGTGGGGAATTACTTAGTAATTGATTATAACTAGGTTTATTTCAGTAAGATTCTTGACATTTGATTAATTCTGACTAACGGATTCTCCTGACTGGCGGTGTGCTGCCCTTGCTGCTTTTGCTTCCTTCGTCCGATCCGACTGCCGGGTGATGGGAGTCGTCCCGCAGCTCGAAATGCACCGCACGGGATTACGGCTGCTCGTAGAGTAGACCCCGGTACTGGTTGCCACGTAGAGAGCCTTAAATATTAGTATGTCGCTTGGGGACCCTGAAGTCAGCCACAAGAGAGAGAGAGTATATCGCTTGGGGACCCTGAGGTCAGCCACAAGAGAGAGAATGTTGCTTGGGGACCCTGAAGTCAGCCACAAGATAGAGAGAGAATGTTGTTTGGGGACCCTGAAGTCAGCCACAAGAGGGAGAGAGAGTTGCTTGGGGACCCTGAAGTCAGCCACAAGAGAGAGAGAAAGTTGCTTGGGGACCCTGAAGTCAGCCACAAGAGAGAGGGAGAGTTGCTTGGGGACCCTGAAGTCAGCCACAAGAGAGAGAGAGTCGCTTGGGGACCCTGAAGTCAGCCACAAGAGAGAAAGAGAGCCATAAAGAGGTGTGATCCTGAAATCAGACGTCTCCTAGTGAAACCTTCGGATCGGCAAGCCGATCCTGGCTTAAGAAGGGTAGTGGGAGGAGGAAGTATTACGGGAACTAACTACAATGTATAAGCGGACTTGGATCGAATGATCTAGTCCACCAAAAAGTGACTTTGCTGCTCACCACCACTGGGGAGTTGCCTCTGTACCCGAAGACGGTCTGCTGCTAAGTGACGTTCTATGTGCCCGCCGCCTGTGTGGGATTTGCCGGTATAAGTGTGGCCACCTCTCTTGGTCTATTGTGGCGCGTTCTTAGATTGAATTTGAATTAAACGCTCCTTTCGTTTAACTTTTTTAGTCTTTTTTTATTTACATCTTGTTTTTGTGCGAGCAGCGTCACACCAGATAACCGGAATAGGTCGGAATTAGAAGAAAATTGCGTAATTACCAAGGCATTATATATGTCAGCTGCTGGTACAGGTGAAAACCTAATCAGCAGGCTTAAGTCACGGGCAGTTCACATTCAAATCTGCCAAAAATTAAGTTACCAAAATTTAGCGGCAAACATTCAGAGTATAAACAATTTATTGGAATTTTTGAGCAACTGGTTGACTCTGATAATTCGTTATCTAACATCGAAAAATTTAACTATTTGTTAGCCTGCCTTTCTGACGAGGCATTGGGAACAATAAAAGCTCTTCAAGTCTCAGATGCAAATTATAAAAAGGCATTAGCGAGTTTAAAGAGAGTCTATGACAAGTGTTAACTTTTCTTTGAAACTCTAACGCAGCTGTTTGAAATCCCTTCAATAACAAAACCTTCTGCGTCTGCCTTGAGGTTAATAATTGATACAGTAAGTGCAATTTTCGATTCGCTTATGTCCCTAAGGGACGAAAAAGATATTGTCAATGCGGTGATTATACATATAGTTCTTTCAAAGGTAGATCCTTACACCAAATCCAAGTATGAGGAACAGGTTAATAATGATGAACTGCCTAAATGGTCTGATTGCGTGAAGGTTTTAGATCGACGATATCAACATGTGTCAGCTGAGGAATCGTCGAGGGTAAAATGAAAAAGTTTTTCGGAAATGCCCTCTGGAAGCAAGAAAAATACTAGGAATTCATATACTTGCTCCAGGGTCAATAACACAAGTGATCTGTTTATATTGCAGTTTTAATCATTTAATAGGTAATTGCCAGGGATTTAGCGGAATGCCAGTTTTAGATCGTTTTAACTTTGCCAAAATGAGGGACATAGGGTATTTAAATGCACAGCATCCAAATGTCGGGTATGTC